CCAATGTGATATGTCACATCAACAAAAGAAAAGACAAAGAAGACATGATCATCTCAATAGATGTAGAAAAAGCATTCAACAAAATTCAACATCCATTCATGATAAAAACTCTTACCAAAGTGGGTATAGAGGAAACATATCTCAACATAATAAAAGCTATTTATGACAAACCTACAATCAGCATAATACTCAATGGTGAAAAGTTGAAAGCCTTGCCACTAAAATCTGGAACAAGACAAGGATGCTCACTCTCACCACTTCTATTCAATATAGTATTGGATGTCCAACCATTGCAATTAGACAACAAAAGGAAATAAATGGGATCCAAATTGGAAGAGAGAGGGTAAAACTGTCACTATATGCAGATGACATTATACTGTATATATAAAACCCTAAAGGCTCCACACATAAAACTACTAGAGCTGATAAAAGAATTTGGAAGGTAGCAGGATACAGGATTAACATACAGAAATCAGTGGCATTTCTTTACACTAATAATGAAATATCAGAAAAGGAAAGTAAAGAAACAATGGAGTAAAGAGAGTCTCTTCAGCAAATGGTGTTGGGAAAATTGGACAGCTGCATGTAAATAAATGAAGTTAAAATATTCCCTCACACAATACACAAAAATAAACTCAAAATAGCTTAAAGAGTTAAACATAAGACAAAACACTGTAAAACTCTTAGAAGAAAACACAGACAAAACATTCTCTGACATATGTCATAGCAATGTTCTCTTAGGGCAGTCTATCCAGGCAATAGAAATAAAGGCAAAACTAAACAAATGGGAACTAATTAAACTTATAAGCTTTTACACAGCAAAGGAAACCATAAGCAAAATAAATAAATAAATAAATAAATAAATAAATAAATAAATAAATAAAATAAGAAAACCTACAGAATGGGAGAAAATATTTGCAAAAGGTGAGACTGACAAGGGTTTAATTTCCAGAATATATAAACAACTCATGCAACTTAATAATTAAAAAAAACCCAAACAACCCAATCCAAAAATGGGCAGAAGAACTAAACAAGGAATTCTCCAATGAAGACACACAAAAGGCCAATAGGCATATGAGAAAATGCTCAATATAGCTAATTATCAGAGAAATGCAAATCAAAGCTGCAATGAGGTATCGCCTCACACCAGTCAGAATGGCAATTATTCAAAAGTTCACAAACAATCAGTGCTAGAGAGGATGTGGAGAAAAGGGTACCCTTCTACATTGTTGGTGGGAATGTAGTTTAGTGCAGCCACTATTGATGACAGTACGGATACTCCTCAAAAAACTAAAAATAGACTTATCATATAATCCAGCAATACCACTCCTGGGCACATATCCAGAGGGAACCTTAATTCGAAAAGATACATGCACCCCAATGTTCATAGCAGCACTATTTACAATAGCTAAGACATGGAAACAACCTAAATGTCCATCGACAGATGACTGGATAAAGAAGATGTGCTATATTTACACAATGGAATACTACTCAGCCATAAAAAATAATAAAATAGTGCAATTTGCAGCAATGTGGATGGACCTGGAGATTGTCATTCTAAGTGATGTAAGCCAGAAAGAGAAAGAAAAAATACCATATGATATTACTTATATGTTGAACCTAAAAACAATAACAACAAAAAAGACAAATGAACTTATTTACAAGACAGAAACAGACTCTCAGACATGGAAAACAAACTTATGGTTACCAGGGTGGATGGGGTGGGAAAGCATAAATTAAGAGTTCAAGATTTGCAGATAATAACAAATACATACATATATAAAGTAGATGAGAAACCAGCTCATACTGTATAGCACCAGGAACTATATTCAATAGCTTGTAGTAACTTATGGTGAAAAAGAATACGAAAATGAATATATGTATGTTCATGTATGACTGAAGCGTTATGCTGTACACCAGAAATTAACACACTGTAAACTGACTATACTTCAATAAAAATACATTAAAAAACAAGGATACCAACTACCTTTGCCATAGCAATCAAACGGGCTCCAGGTCCCCCTGATGTGTACAGAAAAAGAAGGCCTTTCCCACTGATGTGTAGTCTGGGTCACAAGTGTATTTGACTGTCATCCCAGGAAGATATGGAGATGTATGTCCTTCAATGTGGTGGCTATCGTGAATCTTGGGTGGATGTGGACAAGCTAAAAACAAGTTCACCCAAAACACAAGAAAAGATATTTAGTTAAACTTAGAAGTATGAACCTGCCAATACATCTAATAACATCTTTGTCTATTAGAACCACATGAAGACTCAAGGCAGGAAGTTCCCAAGGCACTAAATGTTTGCTGATCAGTGGGAAGACCAATTTCCTAGAAGAAATACAGTCTGTCTTTACAGAGGATGGAGCTTGTGTGGATTATCACAGCCATAAATGAGCCTGATTCTCGGGTACTGCCATTTAAAGCCAGACTACTACGTGAAAGGAATGAGCTTACAGAGAGGTTAGGAGCACAACTTTATGCTCTACTTCTCCAGAGCATCCTGAGTTCCCTTGGCTAAAGGTGAGAGGAAGGGTCAAGAAAATGTGTTCACAGGCTAGATCAGAACTCTTAGGAGTAACCAAAGGAGGATGAGTGCTCACATCAGATTTTCCTTAGTATTTCTACAGTATTGTCAATTCTAAAGTAAATTACTGACATCAACATGTGCTTCTTGCACTGCACACCCATCCATCTAGTATAAAGACAACTAGTAAAAGAGATGGCAAACAGACTATTTTCTATGGTATTTAAGTGCTTTGAAAATATTCCCTATAAAATCTGGGCTTCACTGATTCTCTGCACTCTCTGCCCCCTCCTCTCCTCACCATCCCACACTCCTCACCCCAGAAGGAAGGGTCATCAGAATACCGACAATCTGGGGATGGTGTGCCACATCTGGAGCCATCTGTTATTCATCTGGTAGGCAATTCTGTCTCTGATATTCATAACAAAGCCATGTTCACAAGCAAAAATAACTTCACTATAGAAATATGGACATTTCACATAGGTATGTTAATCTTTCTAGGGTGTGGGGAAATGTGCACTGACCAGCAGGACCAGAATGTTCGCAGAGAGGGGCAGGGCCACTCCAAACCCCATTCCCCTGATTGTCTTTTGTGCAGCGAATGGTGCTCTCCCCAATGAGGCTGAAGGTCTTTCCTCTCTCTTGGTGAGAGACACAT